TATCAGGCTCACAGCAACATGGTAATGCACAACAATGAATTGCATCTGTTCACCACAGCCCCGTTTATTATTGAATCACTCAAGCTCCACATCCAACCAACTGGGAAGAAAATTTTTGAGGAACTATACGTGTTTGTCGTTGACGAATTGTGAACTTTCAAAACTGAAAAATACATAAAGATGAGCGCAATAGGGGTTTGTGAGTTTGTCACTCAATACCCGACCTCGGCGTGTTGGATAGCCCTAACTATTTAAATGTGGGGAATGTCGTATATTTTCATCAAATCCAATCAGTACCTCATAAGTAATGAAAGATTGTGCCTTTTTTTAGTATGAAAAATCAATTACGTGCAGGAAGTAATGATCTGCGGAATGTATTTCTCCTATCTCACATATTGACATATATCATTGAATGGACGGAAGAGCTCGTTCACACTTACAAATGCGTATTAGGGTAGCGAATTTAAGATTGATTGGTACACATATACGAGAAGCAACGCATATCAAAAGGGGTAAAACGTACCCTTGGGCACACGATACGCCAAATATCTGAACACCATCATATTGCTTGGCAATATGAAACGAAACTAACGTAAAAAATTTATAATCGTGGCGAGAATAAACATTACAACCTGTCGATTATTAGGTTGTTTCTTTCTAATTTTAGAAGAATGAAAGTAGGCAGTAGAAGACAGACGATCCTCTAAAAAAATTAACGCGAGTCACTTGGCACACTGCCGGTTTATAAAAAAAATGCTAGACCTTGAGGCTTGAAGGCGTTTTGGTGGAATTGTAATTTAATGGATATCCAAACCCGATTATGGCATTTGGTATCTACAAAATGCGAATTTCGGCGTATAATAAAGGATTTTGTGAAATAAAAATAAGCGTTAGAAGTGGTCTTGACTGTTACTTTTAAATATCTACATTCTACAGAATGGGTCCCTTGTGATATTTGTGAGGCGTATAAATAAATTAGTTGGGGAATGGGGACCCAACTAAGTTTTCTGGAGATTGCAAATCCCTTTGGCGTCATTTACGTTTATCATCCTCAATATACAAGTTTGCGTATTCCAAAATAATTCGAAGTAGTTACCAGAAAACTATAAGTTACGTGGGGTACATTGCTGAACAACAGTTACTGCCTTAGACTATGGAAGGAGAGGACTCGTAATCCAATCAAATGGAATGCTGTGCGGGTTGAAGCAAATTTTCGCACACCTTGGTGGCAAACAAATCTTGTTCACTTCTTGTTTATGCTGTGCAGACAGGGCCGGACTGGACCTACCAAACGGCCCGGGCGATTTTACCTCACCAGACCTAGGTACCAATATAAGGGAAACAATAATTTGTTTGCTAAAAGTAATTTTTATTTCTATTCAGTGAAGTAATATTGCAGCAATCATAACTCACTTAAACAAATACATTTATATAAAGTGCTATTTATTAAGAAGTAGACATAGGGATTTACGTGTACGTACGTACGGGGAGAAATAAGATAGAATTTGAGTGGCGCTAAACCGTATTGGTAAGTGGTAACGAAGAAACAAAATCATATACCCAAAACAAACTACGGCTGACAGATCTCAAGCTTTTATTTCCTAACTCTCAGCTAGTTGGCCCTTTATGCGGCGTTTTTGAGCTAACGCAGCCCCAACCGTTCTAGTACCTGTCTATACGACACATACATACATACACTTTGGATGTGTGTGAAGCATGAAGATGCAACCTTGGAATCTCAAAATAACAAAGGGAATTAAATAGCCTGATGTTTCTGAGAATTCCGGTAACCTAACAAAAAAATACCTAAAATTTAAGGGATTTCCGTATAAAATTTTATTTGGTCTAAATTTTAGGTTAGGAACAAGATGTCGAGATGCGGTTTGTGCGAGCTTGTTTAGGAATCATTTAGCTACTTTTTCATGAAAAAAATATCATACCAATGCATTTAATTTTTTTGTGAAAATTAACCATTTCTGTCCGAATTTCGAAAAAAGCCCGACGTGCGAAACTAACAAAACTTTCGAAGATACAGGGTGTTTTTTAGAGATACAGCAAAAATTGTCAAACAAAAAAGGTTCAAATCATCCTTGGCTTTAAAGACCAGCTATTTTTTGTTAGGTTAATATATCGGAATTCACAGAAACATCACTTTTTTAGATTCAAGATTGCAGATACGCCCCCTAGCGGCTATTTGGGAAATTTGAAGAGAATTTCCAAGTTTTTCTTTTGGTCGTCTCAGTAGTAACTTTTTCTGCCGCAAGCCTCTGAGATGGATAGGTTCCCAGACACAGTACCTCGCATTCTTAGTTGGCCACCCTGTACATATAAATAAAGCAATAAATGTACACATTTAAATCATTAATGATCATTTTAATTCGAAATAATAGTTTTGATAATTTGTAGAAAAAATGCATACATAAAAAGGATACATATTGTACATATTCCCCCCCCCTCCCCCCTCTGTGAATCATAGACGTGACTAATTAATAATTGCACAAGCATATGTTCCTTAAATTTGGCATAAAAAAGAAAGTTAATAAAGAAAAAGAAAAACGAAGGATTTTTGTATTGCAAAAGAGCTGTTTCGGGAAAAATTCATGAGTTTTTAGCGCTTTCTTCAAAAATCAAAATGCTCTCTTTCGAGCGTCTCCCGTCTAATTTCGTCGGCAAAACTGCAGAACCCATTGATTTGATGTATAGGAACCAGATTTTGGAGTCTTTCTGTCATACTCCCTTTTTGGTCACGTTGTTGGCAGAGCAACTTCAGCAGCTAAACTGAAAAACGTATTGTTTTGATGCACAGAAACTCAATTTGGTGCTCTTTTATTTTGGTTAAGTTGGTAGATCAAAATCTTCATTTATTCAATAATTTCAGCACGGAAAGTGTATAATTGTTAGGTCATTAAACAACCCAAATTTACTTGGTAAAATACAAACCTCTTTTGGTATTATGAGTTGCGAATCATTAATTTCAGATATTGATGTTTATTAAAAGCATTTGAAAAAGATGAAATTAGGTAAGATTAGTTGCATATCCTATGTGACATTTTCAGGATGTAGAATGTAGATGTCCCTTATGGATATTTCATAGGGTTATAGGAGCCCAGTACCTAAAACTCTGTTTATTACTCATTAGAAGATGCAAATCTAAGTTATCCTCCAAAATAACTCGCATTCTCGTACCGAAATTCTTAGAAATCTCGTTGATGTTTCATTTGATAGATATGGGTTTGCCATTACAGCAGGGCGTTATCTTTTTTTTCATAATCACATCAGGATGATATCGAAATTTTGGGTAAAATTTGCAATTATTCACCATGTAAGAAAAAATCCCATTTCTAGAGATTACTGCTGAGCAGAAACTTCTTCTTGTGTCTATTCCAAATTCAATCCTCTATCCTATTCAACAACTTATTCCAGTCCGGAGACCTGAATTGCTTGCCTTACTCTTCCATGTGCACTCCTTTTGATGAACTCTTCTTGATGCTCTCTTCCTGATGTACTCTTCCTGATGAACTTTTCCTTCCTGATGATCTCTTCTTGATGCACTCTTCCTGATGAACTCTTTCTGATGATCTCTCCCTGATGAACTCTTTCTGATAAACCCTTCCTGATTAACTCTTCCTGATGAACTCTTCCTTATGCACTCTTCCTGATGATCTCTTCCTGATTAAGTCCCCCCGATGGCCCGATGAATCCCTCCTGATGCACTGGTCCATGTGCACTTTTCTATTTTTGAGTCGTCTTCTCGAGGAACTTGATGATTTGTCCACTGAATTCTAAGTGTACGTTGAGGTCCATCCATATGAAGCTCATCGGCTAAGTCTTGATCTATAAGACTATAACTGTGGGTGCATCATCCACTAAGTAAAGCATGAGGTACATGATTTCTATTAATATTAATTAATTGTCATAGGAATAAAACCGTTATTAAACGATGATAAATCACGTCATGTTGATAACCTTGATGGTTTCTATTATGATTATTACCATAATCTTTATGCAATATTATATTCCTCTCACATATTTTAATTGCTTTGCATGTCCTGAAAGGACGACATGCCCTTTGTAGGTGAATTATCTCTACAACTATTTCCCGATTTGGGGGATTTGTGTACCTAGTGAGTAGTGACCTCTTACTCTCTGACTCACTATCTACTGATCCAGAACTCCTGTAGACCTCTTCGTGTTATAACTTGGAGACCTGCATCACCAATTCTAAATCCACAATCTCTTGAGCCAGTTTCCGCTTCTTTATCTCTGGATCATTCTTGAGTTGTTCTTTTATGAATGAGCTACTTCTACTGGACAATTTTCTTGACCTGCACGATTGGCTTGAAGGATTTGAATCCTTCTTCTTGTCAGGACGGCTGTCATGTCGTTCTTTTTTTACCGCATTTTTGCAAATTTATTTATTTATAAAAAAGGTAGCTTTTAATCTCACTTTGGCCGGCTGCTTGGCTGGCAGGCTGACAATAAATGCGGGTTCGTAATAAGAACACTTGTACAATGATGGGGTGTTTACATGTACCTACCGTCGCCGTGTAATTAACAACTTTAGGGACGGGGCTACATGATGTGGGGTCGACGACATCTGGGCGCCATCCCCGAGCGTGTTATACTAACTTGGAGATTTTTCAGTTTTTTCCTATCTTCTCTTACAGTTTTGGTCCGATTGTTTTCAAATTGGTGTCGTCGGAAAGGTCTTCTAAACGCGCACAACCCTGTTTTTTCTAGGGGTGAAATTAACCACCTTTTGCAAGGCACGCGCCTTCGAGGGACAGTCGATTTTGGGCGCCCAAAATTTGCTTAGAGCTCTAATCGCGGTCTCTCGTTCTCATGTGGCTGTTTTTTTAGCGAAATCAACAAATTGCGGGACGTAGCGTCGCAAGTGAGTACCGACAAAGGGAATGTGGTAGCCTTCGACGATATTATTAATGGTGGAGTCAAAACTGGTTAAAATCAGTACCTAGGTGAAGAAAAACAATAACTACACCGCAATTTGAACTCACTTTAATGGAGACCATTCAAAATAATTAATGGTTCAAAAAGACACTTAGCCTAGCTTTATCGCCCTCAGTTTCTCCTGCTGGCAGTACTTGAGTGCTTCCCCTATTTTGTCCAAGACATAATCAACCATGTCTGCTCTTGCATTATAACCCATCATGCCAATTCGAAAATGCGTTACCGCCGTCGGTCCAATGCCAACGCTTATATAGATTTGGTACCTAAATGGGGATATCGAGAAACTTATGCGGAGTAACTTTCCGATTCGCTTACCGTTCAACCAAGTACTCATTGAACGCTGCAAATGAAACCGTGGGTGGAAGCTCAACGGCTGTGACCGCATGTAGTCGATGTTCGAGATTTTTTACGTAAATCTTTAACCCCAACTTGACCAATCCATCCCATAGCCTTTTATTGAGTTTTTCGTGCTTTTGCCACGTTTCGAGCAAACCCTCCTCGATAATTTCGGCTATGCCTTCCTTTGCAGCTGCTAACAAATTGGAGTTGTATGTATAATAGTACCTGAAACACTTCAACTGGAGAACGTGCTTTAATTAACGCAGTCGTTTACATTATGCGCTCATCGAAGCAGTTCCACATCTTACTAAGTTCCAACACGTTGAAATAGAATGGAGGAACAGTTTTCCGGGTTTTTATCCTTTCACTGGAACAGGTAGTTAGTGTGACGGTCTTTTTGAAATTAAACCTACACTGCTTCTGGACTGAAGCTCAAATAAGCAAGACCGGGGAAAGATCTGGCGGCCTTTTGCGTGGAAGTGACGAGTACATCGATCCCCCAACGATCCACGTACAATGGAATAGCTCCAAAAGTAATTACTGCGTCCACTGCCAACATGCAGTTGTACCTGAAATGGAGTTTAGTTCGAATCACGCGATTTCCATTAGCGGTCTTACTTGTGGCATATATCCCCTAGTCCCTCCAACGGTTGTACGGCTCCAGTTGATGATTCACCGTGCGTGACGAAGAGCAAAACTGGCTTGTGTTTGATGACTGCTTGTTCTAATTCCTCCAAAGTGAACACCTGGCCGTATTGTGGAGACACCACTACTACGTCTATGTCTAAATTACATAATTTTAGAATAAAACACAGTGGAATATTGTACACTTACTCCGCGTTCTCGCTATTTCTACAATTCGTTGTCCCCAAAATCCCATGACTCCTACAACAATTTTCTCTCCCGGGTCCACCATGTTAGTTAAAGCAGCCTCTAATCCACCTGTTCCGGAATTTTGTATTGCCAGTGTCGCCTGGTTTCTTGTTTGAAGCGCGAATTTGAGCATCTCCCTAAATTCCTCCATTATCTGTGTTGAAGATGTTAGAAACGCTGAAGAAAAGTTTACCCTCAATACATACGTTATAAACTTCATCGCCAGGTATTATTACGGGCTCGTGGGAGTAAGTGTACATTACCCGTGGTGAACAATTGCATGGTCCCGCGCCCACCAAGAGCTTACTGCTTGGACTGTACGGCCTCTTCTTTGAGTAAAACTCGTCAGTGATGTCCAACTTTGAATGCATCCTAAACAAAACCTTTCGCTACAACTCTATTTAATAATTTATTATAGAATAACTCGTAATACCTGCAGATTTTTTAAGGATCAATATGGGAATGTTACACACTCCGACCACGTTAACGAAGTATCGATTATCTAGGCAATGCTTCGATTAATTACGACATTGCAACACAATGATTTGGCAGATTCGTCAGCAGTATGGCAAAGGTCACTAACGATATAATGATATGTGGTATGTTGAAATAAATATTGACCAAAATAATAACCAGAAAATCCATAGAATTGGGTACGCGTTTAGTTGAATAAAAAAAAAGTTGTTATTAAAGCAATATTTAATAAAATAATGGTAAAAACAAGTTAAAAGTCAGTTTTAATCTTATACGATTTACAGTTGAAATAAATTGACTCTTGATGTAGGTATATTTGGTCTAGGCTAGGCGTTACGTATGGTTTATTACTTGGGAAACTGCCACTCTGGATAACTGAATCAGGTATCTGGTTTATGTAAATATGTAGGTAGTAAACCTATTATTGGAAGTATGTTTTTGCACTGGAGAGAGAAACTTATTTGGAACAATAGATAGCACGTCACGTCCAGTCCATCTGTTCACAATATGAGAAGCCACATTAAATCATAAAGAAATTCAATTACTCGTACGACATGATATATAATAATCGTAACTAATCTACGTCCGGGTACGTAAGCACTAAGCATTCCTTACATGATGAAAGTCTTGGCATAACTTATTCGTTGCGTCCCCAACATAGAATTCTTGCCTTTAGTTATTCTTTCGAAATTATCCAAGGCACGCCCTTTATACAACTATTTCACCTGTCTCTGTATACAGGCTGTTTCACTCAAACCGTTACCTAAATGTTCCATTAATAATTTAAATCTGAAAAGATACATGCCAACATAGTTTTCATGATCTATAAAACAAAATATTATCATGATCGTTTCACTTCCGGTTTTACCGGCTGTGGATAGCAACTTTCATATTTTATATCGAACATGGTATATTTTATTGCATTTTCGAAATCAACATGAAAATCTACGACGTTTGATACCACATTTCCCTATACACCCAGCATCAAAGTTTTTCAAGTTATTCAAGATTTTTTAAAATTTTCGACGTTCGACTGCTTTTCTTTAGCGCCCTGTACGTGTACCTATGGTTACCTTGGCTTGAAGTCTTCCAAAATCAACAATACTGACTGATCCTATATGCGAATAATTTAAATTTTGATCGCCCTTCTACAGCGCGTTTTAAAATTAATCGTCAAATTTAATAACTTCAAACCTTAAAAAGTTGATTTTTTTAGATAAAACATGCTTTATTTTTTGCACTTTCAAATGTCGAAAAAAATTCTACATCGATCAATTATTACATTCCGTATACCTATGAGGCGCCGTTTGTACCATAGTTATTTCTTACGAATATATAAAGTAAAATAAATAATAATAATAATAATAAATGCTTTTATTCACTAGGAATGGGCGAGGTTCAGCAATGACATGTATGCCATGTGCTGCTCTTCCACCTAACCCGATATAACATATAGAAATTAATATTGATATGGCCACAGATAAAACATAAACATGTAAAAAATTAAAGAAAGAATATCTCCAGTGAACACTAAGGTACATAATTATTTATATACATATAGGTACACGTTTCATACACGCATAATCATATATAGGTAGGTATATTATTGGAATTAATGGGACACGAAAACAAGCAAAGATTCAACTGAAGGGAGCAATTAAGTGCATAAAAATTAATTTTTATATAAGAAATGCATTCTCAGGCTTTTTTTAAAATTAACTTGGCTTAATGTTTTAAAATCAGATGGTATCTTGTTATACAGATGTGCAATTTGATAACTAAAGGATCTCTTGAAAAATTCATGTTTGTGCGACGGAGGAGTTAATATTCCTCTGTAACGTAAATTCAGATGATGTACATCTGTTCTGAAAGTTATTTTTTTATATAAGTATGCTGGGCAAGCATCCTTTATAATTTTGTGATACAAACAAGAAGCATGGAATATCCTGCGATCATTCATGCATATATCTAGAACTTTTATATATTTGCATTAAAAGTTTTAAATATATAAGAAATTATGTTTTATGTATCTGCAGGATAGCGTCGATGAAATATATAAAACTTCAGCTTCATGTATCTGTATTTTCGTCTGTGCGATTTGATTAACGTTGAATTTGTTCTGGGTATATTTAATTTGTCTAGTATTGGGTAAAGATAGGCTTTAATTTAGAATTAAAGTGTTTGTTTTTTCAAGTTTGTCACGCCTATTTATAAACCCAGTAAATTTTAAGTCTCATGTAATTTAGGTAAACCGAGAGTTTTTATTTAAGCAAAAATTTAAAGAAATTTTGAAAATAAATGCAATTAAATTTTGTTCTGTAAAGCTTGTGACTTTTTGAAGCGATTGTAGTAATGAATAGTAGGTTAGCAATTTACTATATTTTTAAGTGTTATTTCTGAAGTTCTGCGTGTTATTTCAGCATTTTGTATTTTTGTGAGGTGAGGTTAATTCCGAAAATATTCAAAATGTCCTAGGGCAAAAAGAAAGGAATTAAAAAGGCAAAGGAGACAAAGAGAATGTAACAAAATCGAAGGAACTTTGAAAAGATTTAAAAAATATATGGTAGAAAGATTGTGAAGATATTTGCAACAATTTGGAGAGATTTTGAAAATATTTTTATATTTGCAAAAAAGTTTTAAAATAAAGTTTTTGATAGCGCTCGGCAGAGAGATTAAAATGGCTTTGAGAAAATTTTTGAAGAAATTCACACACTGAGGGAAAACATCGTGAAAGGATAACGAAAATACTGAAGAAAGATTGAAAAATATTTAAGAGATTTTCGGGCAGATATAGATGTCGTAAAAAATACACCTCGCCAAAAAGTAATGTAAAAGGGTTTATAAAGAATTCTGAGAAGATTAAAAAAGATCCTAAAGCTATTCTGAAAAGATGATGAAATTATGCCGAAAAAACTCTGAGAAACTATTTAGATTCTGAATAAACATGAACAGGGTTTGGAAAAGATTCGAAAGAATTTTTATGGAGTCCTGGCGGAAAAAGAAAAATTTAATACAGTTTTTAAGAGATTTTAAAGAGTTTCTGAAAGGACCTTAAAAGAAATTCTGAAGAGGCTCTAAAGACACAATTTAGATTCTTTAGGTTTTTCCAGAATGGTTTTGAAGAAGTTCTAAAAATCGATTTGGAATATGATCTGAAGAGATGGCAGATTTTGAAGCAACTTTGTAGACTTCTTAATAGCATCCGAAATGGTGCTGAAGACTTATTGAAAATGCTTGGATATTTTGAGAAAAAAAATGTAAATAAATCTACAAGAGAGGATTCTGAAAAGATTTAGGGAAATCCTAGATCCTAGAAATTATGAAAAGATATAGACCGACTTTGGGGCGACTACGCTGAAATTGCGGATAAATCCTGAAGAAATTCATGTCTAGATATCTTGAGATGTTATTGAAAATGCTGTACAAAGTTAATTAGAAGCGCACTAAAAGATTTCTGAAGAAACTGTCAAGGGACTTTAAAGAGTTCTCAAGGAATTTGGCCTTGGAAAACATTTGGTGAGACTTTTAAAAGACAGACTGCATAAATATTTTGAGAAGATTAAAAGGTACAAATGAAACAAGTAGGTAAGTTTTACCTTAATTGGCTCATAACTACAAACACAAGCACTTTACTGTCGCACTTGTGGTCTTCTTTTGACAAAGTACAATCAATATTTGTGTAAAGGCCACTAAAAGCTGTCCTATTTCAAAGAATTAAGAAGGAATACTAATTAAATAGATAAGTAGGTGATTACCAAAGATTAAAATAAATTATTCCACTTTATCTGTATTGAAAATAGTATATTGATTCAGAAGTCGAATATTATTGCGTAAGTGGAAAGAAACACGCAAACCCATGATCGCACATATTTTTATTTAACTAAAAATATTGTGATGCAAATTTAAATACCTGATTTATTTATTTACAATTAATTGTTAATGAATTTCTAATAGATGGATTTGTAACAGGTAATTATTATTTATCACTATCAGTCACTTGTCCACACATTTATAACAAGTAGATTTATAACAAATGAGCGCGAAATCACTACTTCTGATTTCCGTGTCGATGTTGGAACTTCCACTAAACACAATTCAATTGGCTTAAATAGCAAAAGAAAAGTTTCTAGAAAAATCACGCAACATTCTCAGGAACTCTCGAATAAGCAGATATCATTTCCCGAAAGAACGCCTCCTATCCGCTTTCATTCCTTATTCTCGGTGACTAATTGCGACATCCGATAATTCCAAACAATTAACTAAAAAAAATTTTAATTAAATCCTGAAATAATTGTTGGCCACGAAAAGAAAAATTTGACATGAAAACCCTAACCGGGTGGCATAATGGGTTCGATCAAACACAAAGTTAATTAATTGACAAAAACAAAAACTTATTTTGCAAAAAGTAAAAGATATCAAAACAATAATACCGGCAGAAAGAAAAGTAGGCAATTAAATTTAAAAAAATCTTAAATACGTCGTAAAATTTTGCGATATTCGGGCGGTTTGTTGAATTAGATGGCAGGGTTTCGGACACTTACTTTTAATAAATGATAAACCTTGTACCTTGTCAAAAGAAAGGCTTCACTATACAACAACTGTTTGGAAAAAGTGAACTTATTCTGTAATTACGCCTCCCAGTCAACTTGCCTCTAGTATTTAAAGGAACCACCACTTCCACCATAAAATATTCTCCTTCTTTAAGAATTTTTCAATAAACCACAAATTTATTTATTTTTGCCTTTATTTTTGAGTGGGTGGGGTTTCAGCCAAAGCTGCTCTACCAACCCAACCCACTACACATTTACAAATATCTATGACCGAACCCGGGACCCTTAAGCGATTTATCGTTGCGTGTGAACAGAGGATTGTAGCGATTTATTGGAATTGGATTGGATGGTTGATGGCGACCGGCTTCAATTTCTGCGAATCGTAGCGATAAATTGGAACGTGTAAAGTACCGCTGTCCAGCTTCAATTGAACTGGGCCACACGGACCGGCCAATCACAATTACATTTGAAAACGCCAGCTTCGACAGAACGCATCCCCACTTACGCCTCGAAACGCGCACATCTTCCTGAAACACCTACAACTTCTTA